GGTCATCACTCTGCACAGAAGGCCACAGGGCAGACGGGGGTGGCAGGACACTTTCATGTCGGGCAGTGGCACCAGGGGCTGAGATGCCTATGCCCACCCCTCCTGCTGTCCTTGATTCTGGAGATTTATGAATCCTCCTCTTGGTAGAAACACTGCTAACTAGTCTGTATTAACATAACATGTTTACATCATGTCCTTCCTGTACTCTTCACAAGGAGACACAAGACACACCACTCCCCTAGGTGTAATACACATTCTGACATGACAAGTAGAATAAGACTAATATTCTCCATCCAGTCTGTTCTGTTATAATGCAACTGTAATCAACTTAAAAATACTTTATTATATCAGCAACTGCTGCAAAATGGGGAAATAGAAGGTTGGGGACTAAAGAGTCACAGTTGAAGTTATTTTTCCTGTAGGAATTTCACAGTAAGGCTAAAAACAGTAATAAATCCATTGAAAAAAAAAAAAAAGACAAAGCAAACCTAAAACGGCACTGAGCAAATCCTGAACAGCAGATTAGGACAAAACTCAAAGTTTTAAACCATCATTAAAATACAGGCCTGAGAAAACAAAGAACTAAAATGTGATGCTAAGAAAAGGAGAAAGTCAGGATATTTCGCAGTCACCAGCTGAGGAAGCAGAACCATTCACACAGCAACAGGGCTTCTCCTTGCCTGGCTGGCACTAACCCTGCCTCTTGAGAAAGCGCCAGTGAACCCTAGAGCAGTGGTGGCAAACCTACGGCACACGTGCCGCAGAGGCTATTGGTCATCACGTAAAGCTCTCAAAGGTTCGCCATCACTGCCCTAGAGGGCGAGATCAGCAGCACTGAAGCCTCTGGAGCTGGGAAAAGAACAGACTCTCAGCCCAGTCCAGGCCCGGGCTCAGTAAGTGCACACAAATGAGGAGCCAGGTGACTGGGATACAGGAGACATCTGAGAGGCCCTGGAGCAGGGGCTGGAGATCAGAGGGGAGGGGCGGGGCGCCTCCCTCTGTGGTGATCAAGACTATTCTGGGGCGTTCTCCACTCTGCAAACAGAGTTCATGGTGAGATCAAGCACAGACACTTCCCCACTGTCTGAGAGAATTAACCGGGGTGGGCTGAGAGGGGAAGACCAGGAAAACCAGCCTAGAATACCTCAGGAATCCACTGGTGAGTTTTGAAGGAAGGAGCAGAGAAACAGCAGTTGTGCATAGGACAAGGGGCCACGCCCAGGGAGTGTGCAGAAAGAATGTGTAGGAAGGGGGGATGGACCCTGGTGAGTGTGCTGAACCGCCTGCGGGGAGGGGATGATGACACAGGACAGTGTGGTGGGGTAGGTGAGCAGTGGGTGCTTTCATAGACTCGGATCTGGGCTTTCACAAAACGAGGTATTCACCACGGAAACTGGATGATGGATCCTAAATCAAAGAGGAAAAGGGAATGGCTGAGTAATATAGAGCGAGAGAATAGATTCATTCATAGGAAAATGGATACATATTGAAGATATACTCCTAAGTGAAATAAATAAGTCCCACATGTGTAAATACCGAATAGTTTCCCTGGTGTGAATATTCTGCAACAATGCATAAGATTCTAATAAGATTACTGACATTTAGAAATGGGAGGAAAGGAGCTAAAGGTGTAGGGAAGGTGTGATACGTAGGGGAAGAACAAAAAGGGAAAAGAAAAAAATGTGAGAGAATGAAAAGATGAAAATAAAGTGTTTGTAGATGGGGAGGGGAGGAGGGGGTGAAGGGAGGGCAGAGGTAAGGGGAAAAAAATGAGAATCAAGACTTGCCATGTAAAGGTACATGATCCCAACAATGAATGTAACTGTACTGTATCCCTAAATGTACCAATAAACACAATAAAAAAAAAAAATTAACTCTGAAAAGGGAATGTACCGTGTTTACCTCTAGCAGGCACAGCTTGGATACTACAGGTTGACAGTGTAGGAAACCAGGGCTCTGGTCTTCTACTGCCCGAGTCTGAATCAGCTCTACAGCTCAGCAGCTGTGGGGTCTCACACAAGTTACTGACCTCTCTTGTGCTTCTGTTTTTCCATCTATAAAATGTCTATAGAAAGTAGTTACTGCACAGTCATGGTGGGGCGGGGACTGCGGACAATAAAGTGTGCACTGCCTTTAACTACTGTTAAAATATGTCACCGAGAAGGACAGGACCTACTTGAGGCCCTACTGGTGGGACTGCTAGGAAGGAAGGGGTCAGGAACAGCAGAAGGCTGTGACACATTCCACCTGCATGTAGCAGTAGAGAAACCTGCTCCACAGTAAGAAAAAGCAAAAAGAGAGATCTGGGTTGGTGCTGAAGTAATGTGCTTAATTCAAGGCCCAAAAACAGCAAAGAATGAGGAGACGTGAATGGCAAAGCTGGTGCCCCTTGGAAGCAGCAACACTTAGCACCCCGCTTAGGAGCGCCCTGAGGAAGGTGCTCCTTCTGGGAAGTGAAGGAGGAATCACCTCTGAGAACCAGGGCTCAGAAAATTAGGAATTGCCAGCAGGAGACAGAGCAGTCGCTGAGGAAGGGTTGACGACACGGGTCCCAAATTAATCTGTTTGCTCAAGGTTTCTGCCAGATGAGTTTCTGCTTGCTGATGGTCATCGCAACAACAAGCATTTGTGTAGAGCAGAAGTACCTCAGGTCATTCTGTGATACTTGGCTGACAGTAGAGTGTTTGATTATATGTATGCACGTGTGTACATGTGTATCTGGTATATTATTTTACCTCAAAATGTAGCTGGGATGATTCCCTGAGAGTCTCTGACCCAGGGATCCTTCGAAACTCTGACTGGGAAACAAGAGCGAGGGTCCCACTGCCCTGATTTTGGGGAGTCTGACCAACGCACAGCCATGAAGCCAGGCCAAGCTGTGTCTGTGAGGTGACATACTATTTTGGGGGTCCAGGCTGCACTTTGGTGGGGAACGTTCACTAGATCCCACATTCCCAGTGCACACAGCCAAACTCTGGGCAGTGTACAGAAAACAACATGTGGATTGTAGAGAGCAAATAATAATAATATGATGCTTTAATTCTTTTGGGAAGATACCAAGAAGGAGAACCGATGGGTCAAATGAAATTTCTAGTTTTAATTTTGAGGAATTGCCACACAGATTTTCACAGTGGTTGCACCAGTTTATACTCCCTCCAACCATGGAGAAGAGTTCCTTTTTCCCCAAAGACCTGCCAGCATTTGTCATGTGTTGATTTCTTGATACTAGCCATTCTTTCTGTAGTGAGATGAAATCTCAGTGTTAATTTTCATCTCTCAAATGACCAGCACTATTGAACATTTTTTCTTATATTTATTTGCTATTTCCAATTCTTCATCTGAGAAGTGTGTATTCATTTCAGATGTCCACTTTTCAACTGGTCTTTAAATTCTGGAGGGACAGTCTGACTTTTTTGAGTTCTTTATATATACTAGATATTAGTCCTTTGTCTGAGGAACAGGTGGCAAAATTGTTTCCCACATCTGGGTTGTCTGTTTACTCTGTTGGTGGTTTCCTTTACTGTGCAAAAACTTTTTTAATAACATGAGATGCTAGTTGTTGATTCTTTGTGACACTTCGTGTGTGATCAGGATTTTGTTCATAAAGTCTTTGATTCAATGCAATCAAAATCCAATCAAAATACCACTAGCATATCCCACAGAATTTGAGAAAACAATTTTAAAATTCCTTTCAAACCAGAAAAGAGCCAGAAGAGCAAAAGTATTCTGGACAACAAAGGCAAGGCAGGGCAAAGGCAAGGCATCACAATCCCCGACTGGAAATTATACTACAAAGCTACTATGATAAAAATAGCATGGTACTGGCATAAAAACAGGCCTGAGGATCAATGAAATAGACTAGAAGATTCAGAAACAACTCCAAACACTCTTAGCCACCTTATCTTTGACAAAGGATCCAAACACCTTCACCAGAAGAAAGAAAGCCTCATTAATAAATGGTTTTGGAAAAACTGGCTTTCTATATGCCAAAGGTTAAAATTACATCCCTATTGTGCACCATGCACTAAACTAAAATCAAAATGGATTGAAGATCTAAATATTAAAACAGAAACACTAAACCTGTTGGAAAATAGAATAGGTAGAACTCTTAAATATGTATTTCTAAACTACGCAAACAATTTTGCTATTTGATGAGGATGGTGATCACTTCTAGTGAGATGTGAGAAAGAGCATCACTCCCACCAGCCACTCATCATATGTGAATTCCCAGGCTGTGACCTTCCAAAGGTCACTAAGACGGGGTAATTCTTTAGCTTTTCCATTTATTCCCACCCCTATAACTGTCATCTCAAGTTCAAAAGGGAACAATTAACATGAGACGCTGTGCTCCTGCTATTCCAAAGCTTTTCCAAAATCACTGGCTCACATCCTGAAAGCCAACACACCTCTCAGCACATTTCTAAGCACCCACAGAGAGGGTGGGGCGGAGGAACACACGCTTGTTGTCTGTTCACATCATGAAGGCCAGACAAGGTAAATGCTAGAATGTTACTGTGAGAGAAACCAATATTTGGGCAAACATCCACATGCATTCATTAACTACTTTAATGAAATTTTGTTAACTGAATCTCCAGCTTGAAATAAATATCCTAGAAGTCTGCAATAATCATTCTGGTGAAGGACTAAATGTACTGGAAGCTCATACCATTTCTGTTGTCTCAAAATGAACTGAAAAAACGTGCACTCTATTAAAAAAAAAAAAGTCTTTTAATTAGTTGCCCTGCTATGGTTCACGCACGGTGGCAATGTTTGCCAACTCTCTCCAGCAGAGGGGCCACCAATACTCCAGGACCACTCCGCATAGGCATCTTAGGTCTCTGAACAATACACAAGCAGAGAAACACGGAAGAGTTCATTTTAGACACGAAGCAAAGAAGGTTTAAGGAGAGAGGATCTGTAGCTTCAACTGTTTTACACTTCTAAATTAAATTCCTACTACTTCACTTATGTCCTCCGAATTATAGACCAGGTACACTCACCAACCAAGACGACGAGTCTGTATTTCTCGTTCGTCTGTCGCCTATATGGTGTCACTTCTTCATACGTGGGGACATCAGCAGTATCATATTGATCGCTCTTCTTGCATTCATACATGGATTTATTTGTTTTCTTATCTTTTCTGCTAAGACGGAAACTTCTCCTGAAACCAGCTGCAAATAAAGAAATATACTTTTAGTAATAAATAAAATAGAAAAACCTAAAAAAACAAACACCAAAACTCTCAGTGTTGTACTTGGGGACATGGCTCAGCGGTAGAACACGTGCTTAGCATGAGCAATGCCCTTGGTTCAATCCCCAGCATCATAAAAACCAAATCAAAACAAAACCAAACCCCTCAAAGCTGGGTCAGATTTTATTCAGCCCAGCACTGTCGCAAGTATACTTAACAGAAAACATACTTGGTAATTTCACAAAAGATTAATTTAAACTATTATCTAACCCGTATGCAATTATAATATATTAGCTTTATTTGGTTCTACATCATAAAGAGCACATTTCAGAAATCAGTGAGTAGAATACTTGTAAAACAAAGCAAAATAAGCAAGAAATCACAAAGATAATTTATCTTGGGATGACTGAGTATATTTGGTAAGAAAAAGTTTAAAACACCTTAAAAGCATTTAAAATATAAATGGTAAATTTTCTCATTATAAATGGTAAAACATTTTTATATTTTAAGTGTAACCTAACAACATACCTTTAGCACAGACAGCATCTATTGTTAAATAAAAAAGAAAAGCAAATTAGGGAAAACACAGAGCTAGAGGTGCCGGGTGTGGTCCGGAGCCACTGTGCTTTCTCAGGACTCAGAGAGCCTCCCAGGAAATTCTATGCGTCCCTGATTTCAAACACATAAAGGGAATAAAGACGGGTGACCGTATGGCCTCAACTTTGTACTCCTAGCAATGTACTCACACAATCATACGCTGTTTTACTAAAATAATTTTTAACTACTTAAAACAAATTCCACATCTACTTGAGAGCCTTCTCCAGCGGATGGCTGTTGTTTCACACAGCTTAAAAGTTCGGGCTGAAGTTCCTTTTCTCAGTCAATTCCAACTGTCCTTCCGCTGCTGCACTCTTCTGGTTTGATTTCCTCTGGATAAATGACTATTCTGCCCAGCATCCAGCACTTCCATGAGACGTGCCTTCCCTTCTGCACCTGGTCAACCCAACCTGCCCTCCAAATCCAGACTCCAGTGAGAGAAAAGGGTCTGTTTATCAAAACCTGTATGTCTTCTACATCAGAAACACAGTATAAAATAAAACATAAGGATACCTTTAAATGTGTAAAATAGAGAATATTGATCAATTTGAATCAACAGATTTTTTTAAATAGAGGTATTTTTTAACAAAATGCTAATTTGAAATAATTGGTCTGTATGAATTTTAGAATATATAAAAAGTGAATAATGATTAGCATTGAGTTTGAGAAACTAGTAAGACTAAAAACAAAGCATTATCAAAGAGTATGCATGTAACTGTGTGATTCACCTGGTGGATTCAGAGTTTAATAAAAATCAGTCAAGATATGAAGAAGGGAGTGAAAAAGTTCTCCTGATATGTATTTTTGTGGCTACCCCCACGTCATTTGACTTGGAGGAGATCGTTGGTTGCTCGAAGGGTCTGAAGCCAGGCAGCCTACAGACACCTCACAGCAGAGAAGGATCCTGGGCAGCAAAAGGGGAGACGGTCGCCCTGAGACAGCCAAGGTCCTGTGAAGTTCAAACTCCCACCGCAGAACAATTGCAGCCGCCTCTGCAGAGGGCCAGAGCAAAAGCTGCACATTACTCCACTTCTGGGAGTTCTGGGAAAGACTCCTGAGAATTCAGAAACAGGGTCCGCGCCGAGGTGCAGGAAAGGGTGGACACTGCACCTCACTGCGCCATGCATGCGATAGCGCAGCTCTTCACACAGGCCTCCCTTCCGACGGGCACATCCCAGCCAGCCGCCCGCCCCGTGCTCACTCCACCACCTGGACTGAGATCGGAATAACAGCACTTGTGATTTGGCACAGAAGTGACACATTAGCTATTCTAACCAGAAAGCCTGAACGCCAGTGCGTCACAGTGCCCTGGTCTGGGAGTCCCACGGCTCTGGCCTCCTGGGAGGCAATTACAGGAAAAGCAGCAGAACAATAAATTCCTTCACAATGACTCCTTCTACGGCGGGAGGATTTTCCCACAGTCACTACAAAGCGTTGGCACAAGCGGGGGATATAACCAGAACATAAATGCCTCATCCAAAGCAAATACAGTACAAAAGTGAAAACCGAAGCCTTTCTAATCAGCGAATTACAGCTAAAACCTGAATTTTAGAGTGTTTGCTTAATTGAGGCTTTATGATTAGCTTGCGATCTTACTTTCATCATAAACAGGAGAGTGTGGGGAACAGGGAGAAAGTGAGGTTGCAGAAATGTCAAATGACGGGGACGGCATGGGGCAGTGGGGCGTATCTGTAACCCCAGAAACGCGAGGAGGGTGAGGCGGGAGGATCCCAAGTCACAGATCAGCCTAGGCAACTCAGTGACACTGTCCCCAAAAAAAGAAAAGAGCTAGGGCGCAGAGATGGAACGTGTGCCTAGCATATAGGGGGCCCTGGGGCTCCATCCCTGGCAGAAAGGGAGGGTGGGGGAGACAGGCGCTTGGCAAAAGTTTACTGAATCAAAGTCACTAAAAAGGGCAGTAACAAAAACCCGTCACTTCTGTTCCACCCTTTTCATGTAAGTTTCAACAAAGCCGCTCCACATAGTTCACATTTTCACCAGAGTTTACATTCTAAGGGGCAGAAGAGAGGAAAAACACCACGCCCCTGATGGCGTTAGAGCTGGGGTTCTCGCAGTCACAGGCACAGGCCTAGGCCTCTGTCACCCTCGCACTTGGGTTTTCCGCAGTGGCTACTAATCATGCAGAATCCACACAGGGGCGAAGCGTGGACCAACACCCTCACTCTACAAAACGAAGGAGCAGCGCAGGCCCCGGGGCCAGGAGCCAAGCACAGGAGGGCAGGTGCAGGACAGAACGGGCTGTGTTGCCGAAAGACCAGCCGCACACCCTGGGGAGTCTCGGAGAACTTCTCCAAGCCTGTGTTCTTCACTTTAAAATATAGGCAATGGCCTCTGCCAGCCAGGGTGGGTGAGGATGGGCCTTTATGAGGAGACGCTGCTCGTCTAAAATTTCCCAGCAGATTTAATTTATGACTTGCTAATTTATCATTTAACTTTACAGCTCTGCTCAAAGTGAAAAATATTAACATCAAACGGCTTATTATTTGAAACACCCCAGCAAGTACCCCGTTCATAGCCATACATGTCACTGATGGCTTCATGAGGACGAACGAACTGCTGGAATTAGACAGATCTTGTCCAAACCACCCTCGCACTGGCTAACAGGAATGGCCGTTTCCCAGCAATATGCCCACCTCACCATTCTTTCATAAAGAAAGCGCTAATCACGCCTTTAAAACCTTCACTGACTTGACAGGCAGAACATTGTACACCATCGTTATTTTAACTGGAAGCGAGCTGAACATTTTTGAGTTTATTACGTCTTCTATTTCTTATTCTTGTATAAACTGTTGGATAATACATTTGCTCACATTTTGATTAGGGGCCTTTATAAACACACAGACATATTTTAATGAGGTCATGAGTTCTTTGTCCTCAGATCTTCAATATTCCTTTTAACTAATCATAATGAAACCTAAAATGATTATGTATCTGAATATGTAAATTTCTTTCCTTTGATTGCTTCCACTGTTTTAATGGCTTTCCTATCCTTTGGTCTGATAAATATTCACCTGTATTTTCATGAGCTTTAAAAAAATGGGTGGCATGGCTTTTCATTTACATTTTTTATCACATCTGGTACATATTACTTAGATAAAATCATGAGATCAAGCCTATGAAGTGTGGCTGAAACTTTATATTTCTCTAAATAATTAACTGGTGGTCCCAAAATGCTTTACACTGATATTTATGTTGTACTGAGGTATGTTTGTTACTCGTGACAGAAAAAGGTGACTGTGGCCTGAGTTTACCCAACTTTTTCTCCTACTAATAATGTCAACACCACAGGGTGGTGTGAGAGCTTAGGACTGGTATTTATTGAGCATCCCACCAGATGGCAGACACTTCTGAAGGCACTCTGTCTGTCTGGCTTGTTCACTTAGCTCTCACAGCAACCCCAGGAGGCAGGTAAGCACAATCCATGTGTTTAAATGAACCGTTTGGTATAATTAAAGAGACTGCCAAAGGCTTTGGTGAAAGTATTAAATGATGAAGTGAAGAACAAAGTTTGAAATGTCACCTTGTGTGCACAAATGAATAACAGAGAAAAAATGATAAGACTTCTCTTCATAATTTACTGGGAAAAATTATCACAGAGGAGCAGAAGTTTATTTCATGGACGAAAAAACAAGTTGTTTTTCTGGTCGAAGATGACCTTTAAATGTAATTAAATGCATGTTCATACTCCTCTGTATCCAGATGATATGCAAAATGCAAAAATACACAAGATGGTATCCCTAGCTCAAGAAACTCTCAATCTACAACAAAACAAAAATTAGTCTCCATACTTGTAATTTAAATTGTTTTCCACAATGTTCCCCTTAGCATTGTGACGGTCAGAGTTTTTGCAAGTACCGTCATGTCTGACTTGACTGTGAGACTTTTCTCAAATAAAAACTTGATGAGCAGTTATAATTTGGCCCTTTTCAAAATTAACCCAACTACACTGCATTTGTATAACACATTCATAAAGAAAGCATTATTTTAATGCTTATATTTGCAAATCAAGACTCATCTGTTGCTAAAGCTTCAATGTTGTAGAGAAATTCTTACTCTGTTGCTTCAGATGTTAGCAATATTTAAACAGTAAAAAAAAAAAAAAAAAAAAAAAA